CTGGGCCACGCCCAAACCCAGAGGTGTAGGAGATGGAGGTAGGGCCGGTTCATTCAGCACAGAGCGAGCCGGCGTCCATCTTCCCGAGCTTGTCTCCCCGCTGGCAGCTGGCCAGGGCTCTGTGCTCTCCTTTCTGGCCTTTTGAGGGGGGTGTTGAGGGAAGGGAGGTAACAGCAGTCGCAGGTGGAGAAGCTGTGTGGTCTAGTGGAATTGTACAGACTGTGACTCAGGAGACCTAACTGCTATTCCCAACCCTGCCACTGATCTGCTGGGTGACCTTGGGCAACTCACTTCCCCACTCTGTGCCTCAGTTTCCCCTTCCACCTCTTGTCTATTTAGACTGTGCGCTCCCTGGGGGGGGATTGTCTGCCTGGACACAGCACCTAGCAACAAGGGGCCTTGTTGTGGCAGCATGTGGCACTGGCACTTGGGGAGGCTGATGCGAGCTCCAGAAGCTCCCACAGTGCTCAGACCATGGCTTCACTCCAAGGCCCGCCCACGCTCGGCCTCCTCCCCTGAGGCCCCACCCATGCCCCATCCACACTCCATCCCAAGACCCGCCCCAAGCCCCACTCCTGCTCAGCCCCCTTCCTGCTCCACCCCACCCTCCCATCACTCAGCATAGCCGTTCGCTCCTTTCCTCTCCTCCTCCTTGGGTGGGCGAGGAAGGGATGTAGTGGGGACAGGAAAAGGTGGAGCAAGGATGGGCCTTGGGGGGGGAAGAGGAGGAGCGGGGGCAGAAAGGGGCGGAGCGAGGCTGGAGACACAGGGGAAGAGCAGGAGAGGGGCCTCGAGGTGGAGCGCAGGTGGGACCACAGCCCAGGCATCTGCACTCTCAAAGGCAGCAGGTCGCCGGCTGTTCGCGGAGGCTTATCCTCCCCTGGCCTATTATACCTGCTGCCCATGCTCCTCCTCCTCGCAGCCCCATGCACAGGAGCTGGGGTCTTCTCTCAGCAGGGTGCAATGGGGGGGGGGTGTCACTGTAAGGGCAGGAATGGCCCCACTCGCCCTTCCCCCGCCCCAGTGATTTCTGTTTTGCCTTCTAGGTTTTAAGGAATGGAACGATGCTCCCTGTAACACACAAAACGGCTACATTTGCAAGTATGAACTCAAGCGAGGGGAGTCACACGCCTGTGCCTGAAGGGGGAGCTCAGCGCCTGGGCTCCTTGGGCACGATCAGGCAACGTCCCAGACTTTCCGATGCCTTTGCTGCATCGAGGGCCTGTCCCCTCCCTCCCTGAGAGACCAGATCGCACTTCCCCAGCTGCAAACTCTCTTCCCCCAAGTGTCTCTGTTCTAGTTACACGCCTGCCCCTTCCCCCTCTTCCCCTCAGTGGCTGCAGCCCACGACAAGAATAAACTCTCCTGAGCATGTAGTTCTGTGTGTGTCTCCTCTGTCCCGTTCCTGGCTCCGTGTAGAGGCGTCCATCCAGCCCCCTCTGCCTGTGTCCTGAACCGCCCAGATCCCAGTGGAGGAGAGGAAGGGGACCCCCAGAGGGAGGCAGGATGGGCCTGGCCTTTTGGATAATAGAAATGACTTGGTTTCCCTCCAGATATCTGCAATACCCAGAGTTTCCTCTCTCTTCTGGCCCACCCATCTCCTCCTGGTCTCATCTCCACTCAGACCCTGAGCTCCTCAAAGCAGGGATGTGTCCAGCTCTTCTGTACACATCATTGTCCTTCAGAGCTGGAAGCAGGACCCTGCACAGCCGGAGCTAAAGGACTCAGCGCCCGTAGCTGAGAGCCGTAGCAGACTCCTGGGATCAGGCAGCCCACACATTCCAGTGGGTACACAGGCTCCATGCACATCTGTGATGCTACAGAAATCAAATACCATTAATAACAACAAAAGACTGAGCCAGGACTCCTGGGTTCCATTTCTGGCTTAGCTGCCATCGGCTTCCGGTGTGACCATCCCTGGTGAAAGCCCCTCCCCATTTCAGTCTGTGCAGGGGGGCTAATGACACCAACCTGCCGCTCAGGGAGGGGGAGAGGGTAATGCCAGGAGTGTCTGTGATGCACTTGGGGATCCTTGTATGGATGGTTCTCCAGGGAACCTTGTTAGTGAGGCTGACGCATCCCCAGCTCTGCACCTCGAGGGGAGGGCTGGGTCACAACATCCAGCCGCTGGAGCTCACCGGTTGGAGGGGGCTGTAGCCAGCTGGGCCCTTGGGGGGGTGGGAATGGGCCTCTACTGAACACTGGCAATACGGAGCTGGAGCCAGTCTGGTCACCCATGTGTTGGTATGTTTACAATGGGGATGAGAATTAAGAATGTGGTTAGTGTTTTGGACTCTGTGAACTGCTTGTAAATTGTTGTCTGCGTTAATCTCTCTTATCATCTCTGTATTGCATGTTATAAAGTAATTAAGTGTTTGCTCTGTAACTGAATCACCAGACAGGAGAGAGGCATGAATGAGTGTGAGATGGGAGAAGATAGGAAGGGAAGACAGACTGAATTAGTTCAACCATAAACATCTCCTGATATAACTCAAGGGCAGTGTTAAGATCACGCCTGGTAAACAAGAAGAGGTAGAACTGGAAATCAATGAACCAAAACTGATGTGTTGGAAATCAGGCCTAATTGGTGGACAGAATAATGGGGGCCCCCACCCTGCAGCCCCCACCTGTTACTCCTGAATAGCTGTTACCCAGGGCAGGGAGAGCTGCCTTGGTGTTCGCGCTGGCTCTGCCAGCAGGGGTGAGCAGCCTGCACCGCGCAACCTCCTCGGAGCTCCGGGCACAACTCCTGGAGAAACGTGGGGCCGGTGTGCATGGCGCCAGAGGCAGCTCTTGTCAGTGAAGGCAGCTGTGCCATTCGCTCCTCTGGGCAGCTCCCCCGCTCCCTCCTGGCCAGGGGACGGGGACCCTGGGACTCCGCCGGTGGCAGGTGAGTTCCCAACCACCTTCCCCAGGGTGAGCTCTCGCTGAAGGGCCACGGGAGGCAGAGACAGAGACATGGGTGGACACTTGGATGTATCTATACGCATGTTTATTTGTTTTTCCCGAAGTTAATTACGTATTTTAGGAAAAATTGTCAGAGCGGCCACCAGCAAGCGTTGGTGACATGCAGCCCCTGGAGCTCACCGGTTGGAGGGGGCTCTAGCCAGCTGTGCCCTAGGGGGGTCTGGGAGTGGGCCCTGTCCCTGGGGGACTGATCCCCTGAGCAGGGAGAGGCTGAGGGTCTTGTGCTCATCCCTGTCTGAAGGTGCTTAGGTGGGCATGGGCGCCTGTCCCAGTGACATGGCTGCTGAGACTCCCAGCCTCCTGTGGGCACTAACCCACTCTGCCCAGGGACACCCAGGGCTCACAGCCTGGCCCTTCCCCGGGAGCACTTCACACCAGCTCCTCCCAGCTGTGAGTTCATCACATCCTGGCCTGCCCGCCGCTCCTTCCCCAGACAAGGAGTGTGAGTGCAGAGCACATCCCCCCGGCCCGGGTTGTCTCATCCTATTACATCTGGTCTGGTTTGGACTGTTGGCTCTTTGGGGCTGACACTGTCATGGGGTCTGCGCAGCACCAAGCACCGTGGGGCCCGGTGTGATAATGGGCCCTACGCCTTTACCCTCAGTGTGAGCTCGTAAGGTGTCACAATAACGTCTGACAACAACTGTGGATGGGAACAGAAGCACATGCTCTTCATGGCTAATTTCCAAGCAGGCAAAAAGTTATAGGCCCAGTTGTCACAACAAAACCCCACAACGACGGCCTTTTTCACAAGTATATCACATTCTATTTGAGATCCACTAAAACCCTCAGATCTTTGTCAGCAGCACCACCACCTCGCCGTTCTTCCCCATTTTATAGTTGCACATTTTGCTTTTCCTTCCTAAGTGCTCTACTTTGCACTTGTCTTTACTGAATTTCATCTTGCTGACTTCAGACCAATCCTCCAATTGGTCAAGATCATTTTGAATTCTAATCCCGCCCTCCCAAGTGCTTGCAGCCCCTCCCAGCTTGGTGTCATCTGCTAATTTTCTAAGTATTTCCCCCCCCTCCATTATCCAAGTCATAAAGGAAAATACTGACTAGACCCAGGACTATCCCCAATGGGCCCCACTAAATACGCCCTCCCAGTCTGACAGCGAACCATTGATAACCACACTTGGAGTACAGTCTTTCAACCAGTTGAGCACCCATCTTATCGTAATTTCATCTCACCCACATTTCTCTAGTTTCTTTGTGACAATGTCATATGGGACCACGTCAACAACCTTGTGCGACTGGCAGACCAGGCGCCAGCTCATGCCCAGGCCCCTAGGTCTCAGCTGAACACTGACAATGCAGAGCTGGAGCCAGTCTGGTCACCTGTGTGTTGGTATGTTTACAATGGGGATGAGAATTAAGAATGTGGTTAGTGTTTTGGACTCTGTGAAATGCTTGTAAATTGCTGCCTGCGTTAATCTCACTTATCGTCTCTGTACCCTGCGTAATAAGGTAATTACATGTGTGCTGTGTAACTGCAAATCACCAGACCCCGGACCTTTGTTCTCCTGATCCTGAGAGACGTTCTGGCCAGAGTTGGCAGGAGAGAGGGACCCAGGTGACATCGCCACCTTCATGGGCTTCAGCTGAATCCCAAACACCACCTGGGATTTGAAACAGGATCAGACTTTAACAACAGCACCAACGCCGGCTCCAACCCATTGTAACTAACGACTTCTTCCCCAAAAGAACAGTTATTACCATATTTCATCCCACCGCAGAGACTGTCACACAAGGGGAGAGGGGACCTTTTAAACCCTCTCTCCAGCTAAGAGGAAAGGGAAGAAGGGATGTTGTGAAGATAAAAGCCTTGCTGAACACTTCACATTTCAATGCTCCTGGCCCCATTTTGGTTTTTCTCATTTTTCTGTTTCAGTTCATCCATTTCTAAGCTCTGCTCGGAATTTTATAATGTATTTGCCACGGCCCTAAGCAGGGGGAGGTCTCTGAAAACCTCTGCTGGCACCCGCTACGCTCTGTGATGCCACATTCTGAGGTTCCACCGCTTAACCCAGCGCTCGGTGGGTAGCGGGAAACCTCACTGCTTGGGCGCTCTCTTTCCCTGCACTATCGTCCTGCACCAGGTTGATGGCTTGGCAGCTAGAGCTCATTATCCGTGAGTTCAGCCCTAGTGACCCCTTAACAGAACAACTACTCTCAATTGAGTCTAATTAGCTCTGCCTTTAAACCGCGCAGAGAAACCTCCTCGTATGGTGTCCCTAAGCAGACCCCACACAGACACACCTATCCCCACTGGGGACTGGCATCCAAACCCCCTGCTCAGTGGGTGCACTTCAGTGGAGGGTGGCCCCCCTCAATGAGGGCAGGCAAAGCCCACATCTGCTGCCCTTTACTCACACAACAAGGTAACCACCTGTCATTAACCCGCATTCAAATTTAAATATTTGTATGTATTAAAGCCAGCGTTAAAATGATCTAACGCACAGGCGACGGACAGAGTGTCTGTACATCTGGGTACAATGCTTACATTATCCCAAAGTACAAAGTTTGGTTTAAAAGTTACCAAAGTGATTTGTAACCCACCAGCAGCCAATAGTGCCCCCTTTGGCACCACAGCTCTGTCTGCTGGATATCGAGACAGAGAAGGTGAGTTCATAGAATCATAGGGACTGGAAGGGACCTCGAGAGGTCATCTAGTCCAGTCCCCTGCACTCAGGGCAGCACTAAGTATTATCTAGACCATCCCTGACAGGTGTTTGTCTAACCTGCTCTTAAAAATCTCCAGTGATGGAAATTCCACAACCTCCCTGGGCAATTTATTCCAGTGCTTAACCACCCTGACAGTGAGGAAGTTTTTCCTAATGTCCAACCTAAACCGTCCTTGCTGCAATTTAAGCCCATTGCTTCTTGTCCTATCCTCAGAGGTAAGAAAAATGTTTTTCTCCCTCCTCCTTGTAACAACCTTTTATGTACTCATGTAAACACAGGAGTCTTTTCCCCCAGCTCATCACTAGATCTCAGGGAAGAGCTCATTCACTCCCTGCACATAACCACTGGGCGCTGACAACAGGGAGGGGTTCGGAGGGTTAACAGGCCTGTGGAGAACATGGCTTCCTCCCACCAGCCAGGCCCCCCTTGACTGAACCCTGCAGAGACCAGGCATGAGGGGCAGACGCAGCCCTGCTTCTATCCCCCCAACCCCTGCAACCCTCTGCAGGGCCCCACAGAGCCAGGATCAGCCCCAGCACAGCAGTGTGTGTGGGACCCCACACCCACACCGCATGCTTCTACTAGGGGCTTTTTGTGCAGCCAGGACAGCTAATGGGACGGGGGGGCAAAGCATCAGCCCCTCCCTCTCCCTCCTTGTTGCTCCTGGATGCACCTCCCTGCACGGCCTCTGGAGAGAAGTGGGACACAAC